CGAGATTGAGTTGTACTTCATTGACCAAAAAAGAGAGATTTTCTGTCTAGTCGCCGCAACAGCTGTTTAACTCAATGTGCTCTGGCCCCTTTTGATAATAACAAAAGTGCTATATATTTTTGGAAAGCTCTAGTGGAGCCCTATCTTACAATATTGAAATCTACTTTTTTTTTGGTTGAGTGGAAAGGTACAATCACTTTATTTCTCTGAATTGTAGTATCTGCAACAACAAAATACTGTGAAATGACCCTATACAAATTAAAAAAAATAAATAACCAACACAAATAATCAACACTATTTAGTAGTAATTAGTACTATTTGTTTCACGCTTTAAGTGCAAGCACTCTAGAGTACATGTATACACTATTTATCTGCTCTATTTCTCAAATCTCCTGGTTGAAAATACTTTATGATGATAAATCCAGATCACAACGAGTGAATAAAAATTGTACAAGCGAAAACCATGAAGTAATGTATTTATTATATACATACCGAGATTTAGAAACTAAAGAAGACAAACATATAGACAGAAACAGTAACATTTATTATGTATTTAAAAAGTCTACCCAAACGGTTTCTTTATTCACAAATAACTCAACTTAGCTAGAAATATAGAAATTTATCGAAAATCTTATACCAATAAAAATAAAATAAATGTAATAGTTTCTACTGGAGACTTTTTGAACCACGGTTTATCAGTAAAATCTCTATTAGTTACGTTGTTTACAGCCAGGTAAAACGGTGTTTCGTCGTAATTCATTACCGCGGGTATTTTTTCGGCATACAACTTAGACCAATTACATGGCATTTTTCACTGCTTAGGACCGAAAAAGTTTTTGCAAATACCTGTCAGTAATCCTTGAGATCATTTCAGCTTCGAGTTTTAGTTTGCCTGTCATGAAATTCTAAATATTCTTGTCCTGTCAAGTTTTTGCAAAGCTTCACCCCACCCCAAATGTCTCTGTGTTCTTTGCAGCCGCGAAGACTGAAGTGTGTTGTTAAACCAAACAGTATTCAGAAGATCTTCTGGTGTTTCAGTTCCTAGTAGCTTTTTTCATAAAGCACTTTTATATCTTCTTCACTTAAAGCATCTGAGGCATAAGGCTTGTTTCCTTTTCCCTTGCACTTTAATTATTTTGCTTTGATTGCAACTGCTACAAGCCGGTGAGTTTGCTTGATCGAACTGAGTCTTTCAGAGGCAAAATCCGTAGTTTTTCTTTTTCAAATATCTCTCAGCTCGCCATCAAAGAATGTAGTGAATTCAGTTCAGATTTATCGAGAGACTGATATCGGTCCGTAGCCATATTTTGTTTTTTAACAAAGCAAAAATTAGCTTTCATGTTATGTAATAAAAACCGACACGATTTTCTTCAAGTGAAAAACATCGTAACTGGCCTCTGATTGGTCGTACAATATTTTTCACTAGTGAAAAAATCGTACGACCAATAAGGAGCGTTCTAACTTGTGAAGGAACGATTTTTATCCGATGAATTTTTGGTGCGTAAATCTCAGTATGTATATAATAAAAGTTATTTATCCATAGAAATCAAAGCAAATATTCCTGTTATTTTTACAATGCACTACAATGAAAAAAGACAGAGCACATACACTGTAAACTTCAACATGTGTAATTGGCTTTGCCACCAAATACCAGTTAGTTTAAAGATCATTGCAAGCTGCACATTTGTCGTACCTGATTGGTGTAAGATAAGACAAAAAGTCATTTATCCACTGCAGTGATTTTTAACATTTCAATTGTTATCTACAAAATATCATCTCCAGAGACGTGGGTGGATAAAGCAACACATAACTTATATGCTGCATAGACTTCATATAGACATTATCCTGTGAATAAGAATTTTGACCTTTTACGCAACCAGCCCAAGATAATAGCAATCTTAATACCGACATCTCATTTTGAGTTTTATTAAAGTGGATCTATACCACTTATTAAAGTTGATCTATACCACGACATCTCATTTTGTCAGAGTTTTATCAAAGTGGATCTATACCATCCTCTACAAGATGGATTGTCGGACTTATGAATCGGAAAAGTGTATGTAGAGACGATGGTAAAATCAAAGATAAAAATCATAGCAAGTCAATTTTTCCAAGGAATAACGCTTACATGAAGCAGATCAGTGTCTATCAATAAAAATTAAGTCAAGTTATTAAGTTATCAAGTTGTGCACTGTCGATAACTCGAAGCAGTCTGTATCAATCTGATATCATTTCTGCACTAAAAATCCCAATACATCAATGAAATATTCCTCCAAAAACGTTTTCCATACCTANCTATATGTATCATTAAACCAAGAGACTACACTAAAAAAGAACCCCGAGTGCACGCTGACAAGCGTCTTGTTATATGATATTCTTAGTTTTCTTTTTTTCTTCTATTTATATTTGTAATATTTTTTTCATAAATTTGTTATAATTTATCATAGATATTGGATAATATACTTATTCATATTTATTCTTACTTACATTGATTAAAATGATAATAAAGTGTGTGTGAAGTTGAAGTTGAAATCAAATCTGTATAATTGTTTCTGCAGTGGAAAATTATTTTGTACAATGAACATGATTCAAAATTTAGACAACATTGTTCGCATTGTTCTTTTTGGATGATCATGTATGTAAAATTATGTCCTATGAGTAAATTATATATAAAATACAACACATTTTAATGTTACTAACAATATGAAGGGGTGGATGTGAGAACAGCTTAAGTGACGATTCAGGGTATTTTTTAAATTTTCGAAAAATTGAAAAAAAAATCACTTTAATCATTTGTTTCTGGTCTAAATAATCATGTTTGCTAGTTATTTCTCGTGATTTCATTAAAAAAGCGAAAAAAAAACACATTTAGTTACGTACAATACCCTCCCCTCCCCCCAAACTTTAGCTTAGGGTTAGTTTCAGCCTTATGCACTAGGATTAGGGTTCCTATAACCTACGACAGGGTCTAGGGTTCGTTGATTTAGGGTTAGGGTTTAGGATAGGTTAAGGTTAATGTTAGCTAAGGGGGGTGTTGTTTGAAAGCAAACAACACCCCCCTCCCCTCCCCCCCGAGTCCAAACTTTGAAGTTTGTATAATATCACTTAAACAGCATGGATGACTGAGCTACTCATTTTGACATTGAAAAGTCAGTTAAGCGACAGTTGAAGTCACAAAAATTAAGCGAAAAAAGGGTAGTTGTGACGCTAATTCTCGCCTACAGTGAAAAATTAAAGGCGCTCAAAGAGCTCATGTGGTTACTCCAACAGTACTAGATTTACAAAGTGATTAAATTGATGTTTGAGGAGCGAATGGGTTTTAGTCAATTTCTACTAGTTAGAAATGCGTCGTACAGTTTGATTAGTGATGCGTATAACTTTGGCAGGAAAGTGTTTATTATGGGTTTTCCGTGTTATTTTAACTGGTGATCTAGTTTTTTTGAGCAAGATCATTGTGACCCTTGATCTAAAACTCCAAATCCCAGCTTCTTTGATCGTGACTCAAAAGGCAAAAATCCTGATCCCGAGAAAGTGCAGACAAACAATTTCAACAAGCGTACCAAAATTCCTACGTCTGTCATTTAAGCGTTTTATTTTTCAAATTTTTCATAAACATCTCAAGCTACGGCTCTGTCAAGTTTTTGCAAAGCTTCACCCCACCCCAAATGTCTCTGTGTTCTTTGCAGCCGCGAAGACTGAAGTGTGTTGTTAAACCAAAGAGTTTTCAGAAGAGCTTCTGTTGTTTCAGTTCCTAGTAGCTTTTTTCATAAAGCACTTTTATATCTTCTTCACTTAAAGCATCTGAGGCATTAGGCTTGTTTCCTTTTCCCTTGCACTTTAATTCTTTTGCTTTGACTGCAACTGCTACAAGCCGGCGAGTTTGCTTGATCGAACTGAGTCTTTCAGAGGCAAAATCCGTAGTTTTTCTTTTTCAAATATCTCTCAGCTCGCCATCAAAGAATGTAGTGAATTCAGTTCAGATTTATCGAGAGACTGATATCGGTCCRTAGCCATATTTTGTTTTTTAACAAAGCAAAAATTAGCTTTCATGTTATGTAATAAAAACCGACACGATTTTCTTCAAGTGAAAAACATCGTAACTGGCCTCTGATTGGTCGTACRATATTTTTCACTAGTGAAAAAATCGTACGACCAATAAGGAGCGTTCTAACTTGTGAAGGAACGATTTTTATCCGATGAATTTTCGGTGCGTAAATCTCAGTATGTATATAATAAAAGTTATTTATCCATAGAAATCAAAGCAAATATTCCTGTTATTTTTACAATGCACTACAATGAAAAAAGACAGAGCACATACACTGTAAACTTCAACATGTGTAATTGGCTTTGCCACCAAATACCAGTTAGTTTAAAGATCATTGCAAGCTGCACATTTGTCGTACCTGATTGGTGTAAGATAAGACAAAAAGTCATTTATCCACTGCAGTGATTTTTAACATTTCAATTGTTATCTACAAAATATCATCTCCAGAGACGTGGGTGGATAAAGCAACACATAACTTATATGCTGCATAGACTTCATATAGACATTATCCTGTGAATAAGAATTTTGACCTTTTACGCAACCAGCCCAAGATAATAGCAATCTTAATACCGACATCTCATTTTGAGTTTTATTAAAGTGGATCTATACCACTTATTAAAGTTGATCTATACCACGACATCTCATTTTGTCAGAGTTTTATCAAAGTGGATCTATACCATCCTCTACAAGATGGATTGTCGGACTTATGAATCGGAAAAGTGTATGTAGAGACGATGCAAAATCAAAGATAAAAATCATAGCAAGTCAATTTTTCCAAGGAATAACGCTTACATGAAGCAGATCAGTGTCTATCAATAAAAATTAAGTCAAGTTATTAAGTTATCAAGTTGTGCACTGTCGATAACTCGAAGCAGTCTGTATCAATCTGATATCATTTCTGCACTAAAAATCCCAATACATCAATGAAATATTCCTCCAAAAACGTTTTCCATACCTAATCTCCTTGCTAAATGCACACGAGAGAGCATTTTGATAGCCGTTTCTTTCTGTGAAGCCCTCTTGTCCGGCAACAAAATGGCGGCCAACTTTACGTGAACATGGGATTGTGGGATATATAAAAGCACACAGGAGCCCCAATTATAACAGATAGAAGCCACAGGTAGCCCAAGTTCAACTAGACGCTCTTAGAGCGTGAAGTCGGGCTAGCAAGAAAAACAGGATATTACTTCGATGTACGTGCGGATACGCGAAGAGCGAAAGATTTTCAGCACGATAAGATCCCCAAGCAACCATGTAGTATTCTGACTTTATCATATAATTATCTATGAATTATCTATAATTATCCATTGCGTAAAGTTGATATTTTCACTAGTGAAAATAACACATTCGAGGTTTCGCTATATAGTGGATTTAAGAAAAAAAGGTATTTTACGACATAATTTCAGGCTTTTATATGTAATTATATGGTAAACAGAATATTACTTGGTCGCTTGGAGATACGAATTTTATCTTCTCGTGTTGAAAATCTTTCAATCGTTTGCTGCGCTCACTCGTGAGCGATCTTTTCAACACTCGAAGATAAAATCCGTATCTCCACGCGCCCATGTAATATCCTCTTTATAATTATATATTTGTAGAAAAAATTTACAATCACCTGCCTAACTCAAGTGTTCTGTATGGGCTTGCCTGCAAATTTGCATTGATGTCACAATTTGCGTCTTTCGATCGATCAGTTCTTACAGATGGAGCGGTGTTTTTTGTTTGTTTTTTGTTTGCAGAGCGACAATATCGCCACATTGCTATCGCGCCCCCGGGATCGCGACTCAAATCACCAATTATAAAATAATGCGGATCCGTGTTAAAATGTATCATGGAGTGTAGAATCCGATGATGTCTCAGTGGTGACAAGAACAATAGAAGAAAGAAGACGTTGCGTACGACATTAATTTAAAGAAAAGGATGTACAGATGGCTACATATAATCTTCAATGGCTGTCCCGTCCCGGCACATGCCCTTATAATCGAGTGTTTCTCCTCCCTTCTGGAGTGTTTTTTTCTTGTTGGCGTGTCAAAGCTCCMGTCAAAGGCTTTTCTAATTATTTCATTATGTGGTCTTACAGGGTTTTCACATTTTCGTTAACTTTTTCAGATCATAGTGAATTTGTTAGTTGTTACTAAATTTTGAATTGGCGTTTTTTTTTAATTTATAAGAATTTTATTGGAGTTTTTTTCAATTATTATATAGTAAAAGACATAAATATTAATGAACGAAAAACTTCAGGTTCTAGAATTTCCTAATGACAATACTGACGACCCAGTCATTGRCCCCAACTGRCCTACCTGTCGAAAGCGCTGGTCCCCGAGTCTGTGATAAATCTCTGAAAATCTTACAAGCAAATTAAAAGGAGAAAAATCGCGAGAAAGCGAAGTCAACTCTTAGTTTGTTTGACATGGTTAAACAGTGACCTTGTTCGTTGGTTTGGAAGATCCGAATTGATTTACTTCATGAGAAAGGCGTGGAGTGATGAAGATGAAGTTCTTTAACGGTACAGCAAGCAATTGGCCTTCAAAGGTTTTTCTTGTTGTAGTTGCATGTATAAGTGTGGTCTCCAATGCGTCAGCTGGCGGTCAAAAGAAAGGCTTTAGGGGCGGCGACAAAGGCTATGGGATTAAAGTCGAAGCAAATTCAATCGGAACTAATTTACAATACAAACTCCCCGAAGCAATCGCTAAGTCATCCTCCCCTAAGGATTGGAAAGTCGACAATGACAATGCAGAGATGCAGCTCGCAACAAATCTTCCGATGGCCGCCATAGTCATGACGAAAAATCCTAAGTTTAGCGTCCAAGGGTCTTGGCCTGGGTACAAGATAAACCTAAAATTACCAAAAAATACCAAAACGGCTAAGAAAAATGAAATGCTAAGAATCAATGAGCAAGAGATACGTGGTTCAGGTGMTGAACAGGACAACTTGACCGGAAGCGAAGGAGAACTTGAATTGAATTCAAAAATAAGCGAATCTGGTTCTGGATCTGAATCAGATTTAGAAGAAAATGTGGCTTATGAAGAGAGTTCTTCTGGTTCAGGAAACTTCACTCAAATCGTGCAGGATGATATTAGAACTAAAGAACTAAAGCGATCAAAAGTAGCTCATCTTCAAAACACTGACGAGTCTTCCGACCAAGAAAATATAGAAGAAAATACTGAAGATAATGACGATATCTTTTTGAACAAAGTCAAAAAGGCAKTACAAAAGCTCAAGAGGTTTGACTTCAACAACCCAAACACCAGAAAATCCTTAAAAGATATTATTGTCCACGCCAAACGTGTTGTTATCGAGGCTAAAACCGTTCTCCRCGATGTTGCCAGTGTTGTGCGCAGTGTGCAAAACTTCGTTTCCGGAAATTTCGAGAATGTTGATGACGAAGGAGAGCAGAAAATGGCCCTTCCTGATGAAAATACTAGTTTGGAAAAAAACGCCTTAAAAGCTCGTGAAGATGCTGAACAGGCTGCGCGAAAAGCCGACTTTGCTGCTCAAAGAGCACAAGCTGCATCTAAAATGGCTGTTCAAATTGCTGATGATTTCTGGAAAGTAGCACAAAAATCAAGAGCTTTGTCAAAACTGCGTGATGCAGTCGCTTCTCCCAAAGAAAACGTCACAGGGAAGAAAGTATATATTCATGAAAAGAACTATCATGCACAGATGGCATCAAATAACAAGATARCCAATGCGGTCAAAAAGCAAAAGGCAAAGAAAGGAAGTGAAAATATCATTACAAACGGGAAGCAAAACAACTACAAATCAAAGGAAAACAGTAAGGATAAAGGCGATATAAAAAAGTTGGAAACCAAAGAAGATAACGCAAATCAGACAACAAAAGAGAAAGATTCGCGATTTGAAACAAAACTTTTAACGCAACAACGATTTGGTTTACATAAAAAAAAATCCACTTACAAAGACGAACCGACGAATTCTATTCAAGTCATTGGACATCAAAATGAAGACATTGCACATTCAGAAGAACAATCTAAATACAACAATGAYTTAATCAACAGGGATAAACCCCAAAACAAYACAAACATTAAAAAAAMCGGTCTTGTATTAAAAGTTACTGGCATTGCAAAAAAACAAACAGGTATCGCAAAGAAAATGTCGTCAATAGTGAAACTGAAAGTCAAAAAATTACGMAAACTGAAAAGTAAAATGACAGAACTTCGCGAAGTCAAAAAGCTGACGTCCAACGAGAAAAAATCTATTGAAACGCCTAGAGATGTCAACGAAGTCGTAAAAAAAGCAAACAAGGGAAGAGTTCCAGAAACTAATTTCAATAAAAATGTCCAGAAACAAATACCAAAGCAAAGTAAAATCACCGCAAATCAAAAKGGTGACAAGGGAACTCACAACAACGGTAGCGATGACATAAACAATGCCGACGAATCCGAGATATCTAGTGGCAGTTACGACGTCGAAATAGAAGTGGAACCGGAMAGACTGGAATTTACCAAAGGAATGGGAAAAATGAGAGAAAGAAACATAAGAATTAAGAACACTGCCACAGACGGAAAGACAAAAAAAATCTCTCCTGTGACTTTTTCCAAAATTTTAAAAGCAATCCGAAAAGTTGAAGGCATTCTAGGTTTTACCATMAAAAAGGAAGGGGAGTCCGGGAAACAAGTTTAAACTGAGTCACTAACAAAAACACAAGGAGACAGGCATTTACTCACATTTTCAATTTTCAAAATTTTCGAAGAGTAAATATATAGTAAAATAAATAAAAGGGCAATTCTCAATTCAAATGTTTACATATGAACATACATATTGTAGTATAAAGAAATAGGGACTTAATAAACCAATCTTCCGAGTGTATCGAGTGGTTATTTAATATTTAAATCAACCTATTTACAATTGTATGAATTTTACATTAATTTGAATTTTTTCATGTTTTTGTATTATAGCTATCATAGTACCCGCTCTCTGATTGGTCAAAAATTTTATTGTTTATTTAACCAGTAAAAGCACGGATGGAAAATGTTATATCATAAAAGCAATAAACAACRCGTTTTCGTGCGTTCCTGGTGAAACAAACCCTTGGGGTATTATGAAAATACTCAAAATGCTTTTTCGTATTCTCCTAACATCCCGCGTGGTTTATTTCACCAGGAAAGCACGAAAATGTTATTGCTTTTATTTAAAAATACGTCGATCTATATATTTAGCTCTCTGATTCTGATATCAAAACTGTAGGAGAAATTCACAAAATCGAGCGCTGGTATCGAAATGTGTTTAAAAACTCTCTAACTATTAGCCCTACTGTTATTTATTGCTCTATAAACGTGGCGTTACTTATATTCATTACTCTATAAAAGTTCATTTATAATCTTATAAATCTCGGGCCCTTTTTACATGGAGATAAAGTCACCCTTCTAGGGAGTCACCCTCACAAAAGATTCATAACAAAGCCCTTCTTTACATGCTAACTTGACAAGTCTGGGTCACCCCACTACTTGAGCGTTTACATGGCTGGTAAAATGTTGKCTCTCTTAGGGGGCTCACCTACCAACCTAACCCTRGGATGACCCTGCAGCCACGAAAAGAAAAACGGTAGAGAAGTCTCAACCTGCTGATAGGGTGACTGTCCTAGTATAGGGTGACT